CGCAACCTTGATACCATAAGTGCCATCAAACCACCTACCAATCAAAAGACATTACAATCATTTTTAGGAGCAGTGAACGTGTATAATAAGTTTATACCAGATTATGCCCGCTTACGAGCACCTTTAAATAAACTACTTAAAAAAGATGTGAAATGGAATTGGGACCCAGATTGTCAACAAGCTTTCACCACTCTCAAAGAGAGTTTAACCAGTAAACCAGTACTACACTTGTATCGAGTCGGTTTACCCTGCCGCCTTTATTGCGACGCATCCACCCAAGGGATCGCAGGCATACTCAAACAGGTACATCCAGACGGACAAGTACATCCTGTACAATATTTCAGCCGCGCCCTTAGAGCACATGAGAGAAACTACACCGTTTCTGAACTCGAGTGCCTCGCCATCGTCGAAAGTGTAGACAAATTCCGAATATACCTCACCGGTATAAAATTCACCATATACACAGATCACCAAGCTTTACAATGGCTTAAAACTATAAAAAAATCCGTCAGGACGACTCTTTAGATGGAGCCTGAGACTATCTACCTATAATTACGAAATCCACTACCTCAAAGGCAGCCAACAGTACGAAGCAGATTTGTTATCACGAAACCCCTTTGTAGGATTTGTCAGTGCTGATATTATCAAACAACATCAACCAACAGCATCCCCCTTCAACATTGATACAAACGGCTTACATACCATTACCCGAAAAGGTGTAATTAAAATAATAATTCCCGAAACCCTGCAACATACTCTAATGAATAAAGTTCACCAAGAATATAACCACCCAGGCATCTCTCAGATGACCCGCATAATTACTGCCCAGTACTACTGGAAAGGTATCTCTAAATCTATAGAAAAGTTTGTCAAGTCGTGTCACACCTGCCAAATCATTAAAAGGCCCAAAGGTAAACCCTATGGTGCCCTTGGACAAATTCCACCACCTCAACAACCATTCGACTTAATCTCTATAGATACCATAGCTGGATTTTCGAAATATGGACACTCCAAGACATATCTACACGTAATAGTGGATCATTTAACGCGATATGCTTGGACCTTTCCATCGAAGTCCACCAGTACCCTAACATACATTCAAACCCTCAAAACGGTACTACAGCAAGGATCTCCAAAACGTCTGTTATCTGACAGAGCGCCCGCTTTTACCTCAGAAAAATTCCGTAAATTTCTAATAACGCATGGTATACAACCTCTACTAACTACCAGCAATAACCCACAGGCAAACGGTTTAATAGAACGCTTAAATGCGACCATTACAGGCAAGCTCAGACTAGCTTATCTAGAAAATCCGAAAGCTTCCTGGACTCAACTAGTTAAACGCGTCACTCAGACGTACAATAACACGCCCCATTCTGTCACAAGTTTTCCACCTACCTACTTAATGTTCAATGTTATTCCCCCAGATCTAAGAACTCATCTTGACCCATACCCCGAAATAAATATAGCTCGAGAGATAGCAAACTCTCGTACTCAAAATAAGCATAAAAAAGATAAAGAAACATTTGATAAGCAGCACAGAACGCCACATTTCGAAGTGAATGATCTTGTTTTGGTAAAAAATTACAGACATCCAGACACAGGTAAATTAGCACCATATTTTACTGGACCATACAAAATAATTGAAATAATATCACCCAATGTCGTTCGAATAGATCGCCCCAATCAGCCTCTCAATAGAGACAGTGACACCATACATGTCAATAAATTAAAATATTACACAGAGAATGTTCTGTACATTACACCTCCACAAACCCGATTTGCTCAAAACCCACAGCGATTGTCTCAAGATGTATATTTCAGTGAATTCAATCATTTGACTCCAGATATCTTCGAGAAGCAACTAGTCCGAAGTATACCGCCTACAAGCTCACAACCCTTTTTGCATTTAAACCCCAGTATTTTCAAATAGGCAAGAAATATGCCAAACTCAACAAAAGAAGAGAGAGAGAGAGAAAGTCAGTTTCGAGTAAATCTCAAACATCCCCCATGATTGACCACCCACGGCGATACCGTGGAAAAACAGGGAAGTGGACGCCCTTTTTGACGCCACTCCCTTGGTCACTACTATCTTTTGAGAATATCTTTGGACATGCCCTCTCTTCCCCCTCAAGGCAGATCTTCTTGACCGCTAGCTTCATGACGCCATTTTGAACACATGTGTCACACTACTCATTTAGATTTCCTCGAGAATCTCACAAATCTCACCAACGAGGTATCACAACACAACATACTTTAAACATTTTACATGTTAATTGATAACACCAATTAAAACAATTTGGTTAAGTCTTATATAGACTTTTTAACGCGAAAGAGAAATCATTCTCTACATACCAGCATTGAGGACAAACGAAAAGATCATTTCACATATTCCCAGTTTCAGGGAGTCATAAAAACACCAATGTTTACCAATGGGATATGATCGACACACAACAATTGTAACTTTTCTTCAAAAGAGACAATATTGTTCAATTTCCCACTACTTAACATTTATCCAATCATTATAATAATCTTTAATTATATTGTTATTTGTATAAAATCTTGAATAATTATCCTTATTTTTACCTTTCAATTATATAAACAAATTTTTAAATCCAACGTTGAACAAAAAAAAAAAAAAGACTTTAATCAAATTTACTTTTATTTTTCATGATATTATTTTAGTATTGCAAAACATCTAATTGTTTCAAAAATTATTTTTATTTTATTATTTATTATATATTTTATATATTACAGGTTTAACTTTATCCACTTACACTTTTTGTACCCGCAATCATATTTCTATATTTTTATTCACTATATTTTTTATATTTGCTTAAATACCTTTATTATCTGACAATGTTTATCATCCACTATCGGGCATCTACAACAATCGTTTTCAACAATCATATTCTTTAACCAATTCCCTATATTTTCATCACTATCTTTTCAGTCATTGCGTCACGTCAATGTAGAAAAACGACAGCACTGCTTGACAATTTATTTTTTTTTTTATTTCGTAATTCAACAAACGCCTTGAACACAGTTCCCCAGACTTACAAATCCAAACTTCTGGTCTGAACAAGCTTCAAGAGTTTATTTCATTTCATCCGCAGAGCAAATCACCAACGCATACACAAAGCGTTCACTTTTTTCAACTTTCAACTTTTTTTTTTTCAGCTCTAGCGGACCACATTCAACCTTTGGTTTCGAGTCAAGTCAGACCACCTACTGTCGCTACAATTCTACTTATCGCATGGCTCTATTTCACTCCTTTCTCAATCATATTAATAAGCAACTTTTCTTCAACAACTTTTAACCCAATAATCCTAAAATTGTGACAAAACACTGTAACCCTTATATAGGATCGCAAGTGAAACATTGCCAAGGAAGACAGCTCAAGTCTATATCCTCGCTTTGCACCTGGATCTGAGTATTTGGTTTACATGGGCACTTCTAACAATTACATATTCTTCAACAACTTTTCAACCCAATAACACTACAATTGTGACAAAGCACTGTTACCCTATACAGGATCACAGGTGAAACATTGCCTAGGAAGACGCTCAAGTCCATATCCTCGCTTTGCACCTGGACCTAAGTATTTGATTGCATGTGTAAATCTCACAATTGCTTATTCTTTAACTACTAACCCTGTCCAACGCCCACCAATATTCTCTTAGAATGTGAATTTTTATGTCATCATTTTATTTTAATCATCTTTTTTGTTAATCAAACACAATGTCATTTTTATTTCACTTTTATATATCCAACAAATATCATCTTGTTATAGCCTTTTTAACCCTCACAGTTTAAATTAATTAAAATAAATTTTAATTACTTACCTGTGTTAGAGAGGCTTTACCCGCCTAAACCCGGATAAACCCTTTCACTCCCGGGGCCCATCTATGGTAATTTGAACCAACAACCTCATATTGTGTAGATAACTTATAACAAGATTGCCATGTTGTATATAGAAACACATCTATAAATAATTATGCGCATGATTAATCAGTGTCATTGCATCACCTATGTAATGTAATTTGTACAAAGTGGATAAATAAATAAAATCTGTAGTAGATTTAAAAGTTGAGCTAAAGCAGAGATCGAGCATAGAATTGCCAAAACAACAGAGTCTAAAGATGGGAGTCATAAATCAGGTAGACTCACAGTTCCCACGACAGGCCACCCACACTGTCACATGTGGTGGAATGCAGAGACCCCTCTCACACCTGGACAGGTAAAGGCGCCCTTTCTCAAACGCCCCTGTCACATAAGGTCACCCCGTCTTTAACCTATAAATCATCACCTTACAATCTCTTGACAGTTCAGACAGCACAGTTCAGTAGAGTACAGTTTAGTTCACCCTTAGCGTCAGCTCACGTCGGTCGTACCTGAGTTCCATCTCATCCATCATGTAGACGAGTAAGAAACTTCTATCTCCATCTTTTCGCTCCTAGCTCAGCTTTTATCTGTTAACGGAACTTTCTTATTGCAATTGTGTCTTCGTTTTTTGTGTATGGATATCCCCAAGCTTTTCCACTCTGCCTCGACCACGACTGCCTGTATTTTGTGAGAACTTTTAAAGGTCTTCCAAGGTGCAGAGAGGTACTGGAAAACTCTACATCCTGACTGTTCCTCTTGGTCAACACAGTACAACAAGAGCCACCAGGACTTCAACTTTATTTCATATATTTATATATTTATAGACGACCGGCGACATCTGTGACTGTATACTTAAAAAAAATTGCGAAATAGAAAAGTCCTTTGATTCTCGAAAAGTATCTACTTATATAATTGCCTTATTCTGTCTGTGTGAAGTTCACTGTGTGAAGTTCACGGATAGATTTTGGTCATCAACGCGCGCATCATCATTATGATCATTATCATTATCTAATGATAATTATTATCTACTTATATAATTGCCTTATTCTGTCTGTGTGAAGTTCACTGTGTGAAGTTCACGGATAGATTTTGGTCAGAATGGATAAAATAAAAAAAGTGTCAAGGGATGGGAATCGAACCCACGACATTCCGCTTACCGGGCAGATGCCATAACCACTAGGCTATAGGCTCATTATTTCTTTATACCGTTATTATACCGTTATATTATATATAATTAAAACATTTTAAAAACATACAGTTTGGAACGGGACGTTTCACAAGAGTGACATCCACGGCGCCAATTTATAATTGTAACGAATAGTGTTTGAATAAAACATTTAATCGGGTAAACTTGGGCGTTGCCCGGGTCATTCGTCTAGTTATATATATTTAGATACATCACTCTAAATTTTGAATATATGCTTATTTACATATTTACTTTTAATATGCCTAAATTTTCCACAGAATTAACACTACAATAAATAGAATAGCAATTTTAATTCAATTCGTAGCATAAAAAAGGTCTTATATATAAAAATATTTTGATAAATTATATTAAAATAAAAGTAGTATTCTCATATTTTATTCCTAATTTTCAACAAATTATATAACATATGTATCAACTATAAATGAAGATATATTTAACTATAAGAAAATTTCAGTTAAAAAAGCTCAAAACTAAATGGCACACTATTGTATTTGTTCAGAATAATATACATGTTTAAAAGGAGGAATATATTCTTCGGAGAATTCCTTTAAATATATCTTTCAGCTAAACACAAGAAAGAGAAAAGCAACAAAAGAAGAAACAGAAGAAAAGACAATATTGTCTCGATGGAAATAGTGGAATTTAAAATAATGCCAAACTACGACATCCATCCAGCCAGCTGCCAATGTTGCCAGAGAGACTACGTAGGTTTAATTAAAAGTGTAAACAATTTAGAGGGAAGAATTCCTTTTCCAATTAAAGCTACATAGGGGAGCTCAACACTCTCTAAATTGGGCATATCATTTTATTTTAATTGGTCGCGAGCAGGTTCTAAATGAAAATGTCCACGTTCAATAGTACTGGAAGCGGACATTTGGGGTAATGGGAAATGTACAGAGAGTTCAGGTTTAATTTGTACAGTCAGGAATTACTTGGATTCCTGGAAGTTTTATCAAACAAGTTCTTATTACGTATTTCTAAGTAAGAAAAAAAAGGACATCTTCTTATCGTGCAACTGAAAGTTGCTGATGGCTTGCGCCATCTATCGGAATAAATATCAACTATATGATAGATGGCGCAAGCCATCAGCAACATTTATTTGCACGATAAGGATATGCCCTTTTTTTTTTCTTTCTTAATTTATGCACCTTATCCCAGTACAATATCACATTTGTACTATTTTCACATGTTTCTAAATCTTCCTTTTGATAAATATGGTGCTTTGTAACGTGTACAGAGCGGTAACATATAGGTAATGAACAGCAAAACAGATTTGAAACTAATCTTGGGGATAGATGAAAATCTTTCCGGGAAAAAAAATGATATAAAATATAAAGTCGCCTTTCCTGTTGAAATAGACGTTAAAACTAAGGGCCATCTAATGACCGTCTCTGCAAACTAGTGGACTCGGGTCTAAAAAAACGTGGAAAGTATTTGATATTGCCGGTCGTCTGTTTTTTAGATAACAGAGGCAATTTTGTTCACACTCGGTTATGTAGTACTAGACGAATGGCCCGGGCAACGCCCGGGGTTTACCCGAGTGCGAATATACAAGGTGCGTTCATTAATTTCCAGGACTGGTTAAAAAATAAAATAAATAAAAAAGCTAGAGAAAATATTTTTTTACAGAGTTGAATAATGGACATTCGACCACACCTGACTGAAAGCACGAGTCTCGTGGCGCACGCGTCGATCTAAAAATAGAACAAAACAACTTCCTTGTAAGGTTCGCATTTCTAATTTTAAAATGGCCATTTTCGAAGAGCAGAGAATCTGCATTAAGTTTTGTTTTAAATTGAAAAAAAACTGCTACTGAGACGTATGAATTGATTAAAGAAGCTTTTGGCGATGCAGCTTTATCCCGTTCAAGAACTTTTGAATGATTTTCACGCTTCCAAAAAGGTCGGGAAAAGGTAAACGATGATCAGCATACTGGGCGTCCAAGATCATTTTGTTGCGAGGAAAACAAGCTCAAAATAAAGGAGTTAATTAAATCTAACAGAAGAATTATCTTCAGTGACTGGACTATCTGTTTATTTGGGGATAATGAGGTGCTTAAGGGAGGCAGTGCGTCTTAAAAGACCTGAAAGATGGCAAAACAATGACTGGATACTTCACGTCGGTAATGCGCGGCCGCACACAGTCCATGTTGTTTTGCAGTTTTTGGCCAAGCATTCAACCATACAGATCCCTCATCCACCCTATTCCCCCGACTTAGCCTTCAATGACTTTTTCCTCTATCCTAAATTGAAAATTAACTTGAAAGGACGGAAATTTGACAACGTTGATATGATACAAGCTGAATCGAAGGCAACCTTGAGGAACCTCTCAAAAGGTGATTTTATCTCCTGCTTCGACAATTGGAAAAAAAGATGGAACGGGTGTATTGAGGCAGGAGGGGCATATTTTGAAAAATATTAAATTAGTTTTTTATTTGTTTTATTTTTTCAAAGATACAGAGCAGTCCTGGAAATTAATGAACGCACCTTGTATTTTAAAAACGTTGTCTTGGGTGGTCGCTATTGACAGGGTGGTCTGTATAGACAGGTGGATGTATCACACAGCTGATAACAGGGTTGTCTAGAGTGGTCGCTATAGACAGGGTGGTCTGTATAGACAGGTGGATGTATCACACAGCTGATAACAGGGTTGTCTAGAGTGGTCGCTATAGACAGGGTGGTGGTCGCTATTGACAGGGTGGTCTGTATAGACACGTGGATGTATCACACAGCTGATAACAGGGTTGCCCAGAGTGGCCGCTATAGACAGGGTGGTCTGTGTAGACAGGTGGATGTATCACACAGCTGATAACAGGGTTGCCCAGAGTGGCCGCTATAGACAGGGTGGTCTGTGTAGACAGGTGGATGTATCACACAGCTGATAACAGGGTTGCCCAGAGTGGCCGCTATAGACAGGGTGGTCTGTGTAGACAGGTGGATGTATCACACAGCTGATAACAGGGTTGCCCAGAGTGGCCGCTATAGACAGGGTGGTCTGTGTAGACAGGTGGATGTATCACACAATCAACTAAACGTTGATTTAGAGTTTTCTATAATATAAATTTTAAAAAAGTCAACCAACGAACGCGTTTCGGACTGTTGACCTTCGTCCAAGAGTGGACATATTTAATACTAGCCGAATGACCCGGGCAACGCCCGGGTTTTACCCGATTTAATGTTTTTATTCAAATACTATTCGTAACAATTATGAATTGGCGTCGTGGATGTCACTCTTGTGAAACGTCCCGCTCCAAACTTTGTTTTTTTTTTAAATAAAAAATAATAAAAATGTAAATTCCACAACGATATTTGAAAATTCTATTATTTTTATTTTCAAATATTATTCGTTACAATTATAAATTGGCGCCGTGGATGTCACTCTTGTGAAACGTCCCGCTCCAAACTTTGTTTCTGAGAAGCGATATTTTTATAGAGAGATGATCTGGCTTTGTGTCTTCTGCTTGAATGAATGTTTTTCTGTTAAAATTTTGTTCCTGCATATTAAAAATGAACTGGCTTTACCCGTGGTCTCTGTTTTTTATAATTTTCCCCCATATAATTTTGTATCTGATAATCAAACCTGATACAGCAATATTGTCATCATCATTTTCTGACTAAAAAACAACTATTTTTGCCCAGAACCTGTCAATTTAAATTTTTCTTTACTAAAAATCTGATAAATATCTCTTCCAGATTTTTCTCTATGTCCTGTTAAAACACGTTTTACATGTCTATTAGGTCAGCTGATATTACCTCCCATCTTCACCGCTAGAGGCGCTGCTTGCGAGCGAAAGGGCAACTTTGCAACGAAATTTGCAAATAACTCGAAGAATATTCGGGATAGAGACCTGAAATTTTCGCTAAAAGTTTTTCCAGATTTTACTATATATACGGTTAAAATTTCAGTCAGATTAGTTACGTATTGTGGACGTGTATAGCCGACATAGATACCCACATACATACATACATACATACACTGACTTTTATATATATAGGGATTCTCTACCTGTTCTTGTTCTATATTTGTTACCTTTCACACACATATAAAAAATATATATATACTAGTTTGGAGAGATCTATATTTAAGTGACTATTCCAGAAAAAGAGAACACTAGAGCGTTAATTGTACGAGGAGGCAGAAGAAGAGACAGAATGGGCAGCAGAACATTTAAAAGCATGTTTCTAACCCTGCCGTGAGTTCTGGCCATCCATTCCAGTCTAATTACTCATAAAAATGGCGTGTGACTTTTAATAGACACCAGAAATTTGCTGGGTTTTAAAGAGATGTTTGAACGTCTTCCTTGGAATTAAATCGTCAGAGAGCACGAGAGAGAGAGAGAGAGAGAGAGAGAGAAGTGAGGAAAAATTCAATATGATGATATAATAATGATACCAGTTTATAATGCTCCCTTATTGATAGGTAGCATTTTGTTAACAATTATGGAAATAATTCGAAAATTATCAACAAATTATAAAAAATATATATTGCAATGGTATAATGATTACAATCTTACAACAAAGAAACACGAACAACCTGACAACAATGTCCATAACAATGGTATAATGACTACAATCTTACAACAAAGAAAAACTGACAACCAGACAACAATGTTCATAACAATGGTATAATGATTACAATCTTACAACAAAGAAACACGAACAACCAGACAACAATGTCCATAATAATGGTATAATGACTACAATCTTACAACAAAGAAAAACTGACAACTACACAACAATAACCGTAACAATTGGATGTGGATATTGCTCCTGGTCAGGATATGCCATTTTTAATATTGATTTCAACACCTGATCTTTTTATCTTTTATTTTTTTCTTTCGTTTTTTCATTGACTACAATATTAAACAACAAATAAACACTAACAACCACACAACAATAACCGTAACAATAAGATAAATGACTACAATCAAACAACAAAGAAACACTAAACCTACACAACAATAACCGTAACAATTGGATAATGA